CCGTTCCCGGGAAAACCCCGGGGTTCCCCCCCCGGTTTTTTGGGGGGGGGGGGGAAAAGGTAAAAAGGTTTCCGGCCCCCCAAATTAGGGTCCCCCCCCCCCCCCCCCCCCGTGGGATGGGTGGGTTGGGAAAAAAATTTTTGACCCCCTTTGGGGAAAGTAGGAAGGAGCGATTGGTCCTGCGGGAATAATGCACCATCCTCTCAAGGGACGCGTGGTCAATGGCTATACCGCTAAGGCATGCAAAACGTACCCCCCCCCCCCCCCCCCCTTCGCGACCCCACCAGCGGAGCCGATCAACATTTCCAGCTTCAACGGGCCTACGGTGCTAGCTATCCTTGTAATCTCCGCAACAGCGCTTGTTGTCGACTTCGCCAAGTTTCGGGCCGCGGAACTGAAAAGCACGGGCCGTTCCGATCCCGCCGCTGCGCCCCAAGAGCGGGGAAGAGAACACGCCCAGGTCCCCAATGGCCTTGACGGGCACGGAGGTGATGGTGGTGGCGGCGCTGTGGCACCGCCGGAAAGGTTAAGCCGGGCGTCTGGCAGCTCCGCGGAGAACCGGGTGCATCGTAAGAGGGCTTGCGTTCTAGCCTGGTGGATCGTCGGGGCGCTCATCTGTCATAGGTGGGTGGTAGTGGGGACACTCACAGCCGTGCATGCCGTAGTCGTTAGACCGTTGACCTCGCGTCCCTGCAAACCAGGGACGGAGCGCGCCGGGTTCTCACGGGACCCGGTGGGCACACGGCGGTAGTACGCGAGGTACTTTTGGGTATGACTGGCTGGTGACATGGAGCTTACGCAGCCTCCCCCAAACTACTTACATGCCAGATTCTCGCGCCCGAGCACATGCTTGTAGCCTTTGCTTCAGCAGCAGCAGTACTGCTAAACGAGGTACACAAGGCGCTCATCCACCCACTCCCCTTTTGTAGTTTAACTGGAAGTAACGTCATGCTTACACCATTCATAAGCAGCACTAAAGTACAGAGAAACGGATGAACGGACCATCTTGCAAGAATTATTAGCCATTTTTATGTATATCCTGTTGATGCTTGTACGATATTGGCATCAGAAAGGGACCAAACAGGTCACACCTGCTGATACATTATCAGCCTTCGGCAGGGGACGCGTTTGTTCCAGGTCAACCCCTTCAAAAAGTTCGCCAAGTTGCCCGGTCGAACACGAACAAGCTGGTGTCCAGCCCAGGTTATACTTTGGTCACCCTACTCTCACTGGGCATGTAGGAGCTACTGCCTGTCGATTAGTCTAACCCATCTCATGACTTGTCAAGCCTGGCTGATGCTCTCTTTGTCCTCCCTCTTTCGGGCGTTGTGGTTTGTTTTTTCGCTGTCTCGTTGTCGTTTGTCACCGGGGACGAAAGACTGGGGTCGATGACCTTGGCAAGGGTCTTCGCGACGATAGGGTCGCTCGTGGCATGCCTCCCGCACCTCCTTCGCTCCTCCAAGTACCGCCGAGGTATGTACCACGACACAAGAAAATAGCATTCATGCATTGTGTAGATTGCTCGGTGAATTTGTTTGTTGAGGGGTATCGTGGGGAAACGTTTGGCATCTCAATACATATGAGTACGTGATTTTGCTTTGACGTGGGTGTAAGGAAGGAAGGACCATGCCTTGGACATTCCGTGGAGAAGTGCAGGCGGAGAATTGTGTTGCCTGAGGGTGGCTGGCCGTGACGATCAGGACTTCCACACGTTTACCATTTGATGTCCTATCCTATGCATATAGCGCGGGTGAAAGTTATCGACGGAAGAAGGTAGACAGACGTCTCCGGAGACCTTCAGGCTACAGTCCTTGCTCTGAAGAGAGTGCTGTTGCCCATCCACTGCCGAAGCGCCACTGTCACACAACCTCGTGTCCTAACCTAGACTATGGGTGTGTATGGCCGGTTGCCGAGGCCAGCTGCATTGCTGAATGCTGTCACGTGCGTGCGGCCGAAACACCCGCCTTCCCGCCGAAGGCTTGAGACAGTATGCCACGACACGCGTGATGTTCAATCCCGCGCCAATATGGCCTGTATTTCCATGCCCCGTGAGTTTTTTCCTTGTCTGGAGAGTTCAGAATGCGTTATAATATTGTACTTGCGTTTCAGTGACGTCACAACCCCAAGCTTAGCCACCAAACCTGGGTGCATTGCATTTAGTTTGTGCAGCTTGATGTGTGCCGTTCCGAGGGTTCCGTGTGGAACACTGGGGGTTTCCGTGGAAGTAGTTAGGTTGTCGATGTATTGCATGTATCAATGGCGAAATATCGAGATACTTCATATCGAGAAGTCCAAATTTCTTCGATTCCCGACATCGATACGATACATGGAAATATTCGATATGATAATATCTAACGCTAAAACCTGCCCACGACTGCTCTTGTCGTTTTCTCGGGTAAATTATCTCTCTTTCTCTCTGTCTCTCTCTCTCTCTCTTGCCTCCCCGGCTTGCTCGCTTGCCTCTCAGATAGGGGGCTCGGGTGTCTGCTAGAGACCGGCGACAAGCGACGTCCCTTGACGGACATGCTCGTATGGACGAGCTTCGTGTACTGCTTGCCCTCGGTGTACGGACTGTACGCCCATCAGGTGCGCAGCAGCAGCGGCGGCGGCGGCGGCGGCGGTGTTGGTGGTTGTTGTCTCTCGGAGCCTCTTTTTCGGTGTACCGTCAACGCTGTCGTGTGTGCTTTGCCTTTTGCTGGTGCTTCTTTCGTTGCGGTTAGGCCGGAATGATGGGGGTGGATGCCGCCATTGATTGTGCTTGGTGGGGTCACTGCACATGCGGGGTAGGATTTTGTGACCCCTCCCTTCACGCGACGAAAAATATTAGTTGTTATTTTGGGCGGTGTGTCCTTGTAATACTCCCGTGAAGAAGCACGATGATTCTCCGGATGGCGGCGAGTCGGCGGAGCTGCGCGTGCGGCAGCATGGCAGTGGCTGTGCGACTTTCAGCATACACGAACTATGCCAACAAATATGCGGACGTTTGCACTAACGTTTAAGGTATTGGTCGCGTTTTGGTTGTAGTCTCGGACGAGCGAGCGTCCGTTTCACTTTCACTTTTTGCTGGTGCTACAATATGGTGTTACCCAACAGTCCAGTCCTTATGTTTGCTTTTTTCACCATTGTCAGTACGTCCTGCCCTTGCAATGGGAGTCACCGCACCGTTCACCTCTCTCTCTCTCTCTCTCTCTCTCTCTCTCTCTCTCTCTCTCTCTCTCTCTCTCTCTATCTATCTATCTATCTATCTATCTATCTATCTATCTATCTATCTATCTATCTATCTGTTTCTCTCTGTCCTCTCTCCTTGTCTCGCTCGCTCTCTTACTCCACACGTCTCCCCCTCTCATCCATTCTCCCTGTCGGTTCCATCTCTGTCTGTCTGTCTGTCTGTGTCTCTCTCTCTCTCTCTCTCTCTCTCCCTCTTTCCTCCTCCGGCACAACACGACACACTCAGTACGGAATAGCCGGGCTTCAGCTCATGACCACGATCGGGTCTACGCTGTTCCACCTGACGAGGGAGACGAAGTTCTTCAACCTGGACAACGTCTTCGCCACCAGCCTGCTCTCCACCACCGCGTGGAGCCTGTACCTAGGGGTCACGCACGGTGAGACCGGGAGGACACCTTAGTGCCTTGCTTGCTGCTCTTCCCGCTTTGTCTGCTCAAGGACGAGGTTGAGCCAAAATTGATCCTTGCTACGGAGGAAACCATGCAGTTAAATTGTTTTTTCGTGCGTTGGATTGTTTTGAATGTGTGGACTGTGCCCCAACGTCATGAAGATCGGGACGCGAGGCGAACCATCTCTCGCAGTTGTGCTCAGCCGTCGGTTGCTATTCCCCCGCACGTGAGAAACACGCCTTTCTCGACATGGCACTGGTGTAACGGTCCTGGACATTTTTAGAAAGTGGTACGCCACATTCAATCAAAGAAGTACTAGCCGTTGGAGATACAACCGCAGTCGAAGGGGATGTGTTGAAAGTCTTCGCCGTGAAATGAGCGAAACACCGGTTGGATACGGGGCTTGTCCTCGAGTCTATTTAAGCCTATACACCATATTTTAGAAACAGTGATTCTTAAAACACCACCGTTGTGTAGATGACAAGTGCTGTAGAGATAAATAAACGACGTCAAGAGATTAGGATTTGAACCTATGACTTTACGCTCCCAAAGCGAACACGCTACCACTGCGTCACCTCCCGCGAACCTTGTAACTGTAATTTACCATTTTTTATAATCTGGTATCAATTGGATTTATGTCACTATCTTTTATTTTATCCGAATCAGACCTCACAAATGGAGACGATCATGTAGCCACCACTTATACCACCACCGTTGTGTGTATGACAAGTGCTGTACAGAAGACTTACCCTCCATACAGACTCTTGCAGTTGCTATCACGTCGGTACGTCTCCTCGATCCCGGTCGTAGTCGTGATTGCTCGACCGCACTACAACATACTGCTGTGCGCCTCGCAAAATTAAAATCAGGGGTCTGGTGGTATGTGGTGGTCATCGGCCTCGGAGGGCCCTTCGCGATCTTCTGCATCGTACGGTGCGGAATGCCGGGCCTTGTCTGCAGGCACCCGGCCGGGAGCGGGCTCTGTCGACGAAGCAATCCGGAGTACGATTTCTTCCACATGTTGTGGCACCTGTCGTCTGGGTTAGGTGAGGGAGCGTAAGAGGAAGATTGTATAATAGATGAGATCGCCCTCGTACAACGTTCTATTTTCTTTTGTTGAGAAAATGATCGAGATGTCTGTAGGCACGGATAGTAAACAGGGACGTCGGCAAGGAATGGAAAAAGAAAGATCGAGACGTGTATGCACATGGTGCGGATTGAATGTCGGGTTTGAAAGAGGGCGTCAGCAGCCAACCAGGCGTACGAAACCTAGCAGAAATGTCCGGACTATGCTGTGTTGCCGTAGCTGTGCTACGACGAGTTGCCACCCTGTGCCTTGGCGGTAGATACACGTGTTCGCTCGTTGCGGGCCTATTTCTCCCCGTGGAAAGTGAGGTATGCGTCGCCTAGCTGTTGTCGAGATTGTAGGTTTGTATTCGGACGGTCTGGGCGACATGCATACGCGGTGCATCGCTCGGCGCTTGCGCCCCCCGCCCCGTTCGAGTGGAGCGAGGGTCGGAGGGAGGAATCCCATCCTCCATCCCTCCCCTCCGTCCGCAAGGCACGACACGGGAGACAAGGGAACACAAGGTTCTACGGACGGTCAACTGCGACACATGCCCGAACATGAGAAATACATACAAACCGCGGCCGACGCCCCAACTCCCTGCTTCCCTCTCGCCCGTCCTACCGTACACCGTGGCTGTCGAAGGGACCCTGATAACGATCCATTTCTTCGAGGTTTACTTTCCGGCGGAGGAGGCCGGAGGGGGTTGGTTCTACTTCTTCCCGGACGTGCCGGTGGTGCCGACGGTGGCGCTGGCCTTGAGCGCCTTGATAAACTTGTACGGCAACCGCGTAGGAGTCATGCCGCTCGAGTGAACCGTGTTCCCATTCCGCTCCACTGGACTATTTTTGTTTTTCGATGGGGTGATGGGGCAAAAGGGGGTTTTGCATGGGGGGGACCCCCCGCCAAAAAGTTGTTGATGTTTGTCCCCCCCCCCCCCCCGGAGCCCATTAGCCTTCGCGAAAATATTAGTCTTTGTTTTAGTAGGGAGGGGGGGGTAGGGTCAGGGGTTAGGGATACGAAACCCCCCTCTATACTGGATAGACTATATAACAATAATATCCTTGCAAAGGCAGTCCCCGGAACCACTGCTGTTGACGTACCCCTTGTGCCTCCGGCTGAAAGTGGGAGGAAAGCGTTGTGCCTGGTTGAGAAGTGACTATTGTTGGAATACTTTGAATACGAGTACTAGTGTTTCAGCAGGGGAAAGAAAGCTGTGCCCCCCTGTAAACCCCGAGAGACGTTGTCTTGTTTCCTGTAGAGATGGGAGTCAACTCTGGAGCAGGTGGCGTCGTGTTGTGTTTCTGATTCAGGTAAAAATATTGGTGCGTGAGGGTGTTGTAGTCAGCTCCGAGGCGTGGTGGGCTGAGCTCTGAGCTCCTACCTTGGACAACGGTCGGCGTGCAAGCTACTGCTGTAGCCGTGAAGAGGATGTTGTGCAGCGTCCATCTGTGGGGTGCGGGCAGCTATTGGATCACGGCCGGTGGTGCGGTCGTTCGTTCGACCTCAGTCATCTCAAACCTGTAGCGTGTTTGTTCATGATGGTTCTGCAGAGATATACAATATGTAGTGTCTAGAAGAACAGCGATATTGCTCTCGTGACTGTAATCGGATAGCGGCTGAAGCTGTCCCTTTAGGAGGGTTCGTGGGGAGACCTTGGTTGATATTTCGGAGATCATGATTGATCTTTCGGAGATCATGATTGATTTCGGACATCATGGTTGATATTTCGGAAATAATGATTGATCTTTCGGAGATCATGATTGATTTCGGAGATCATGGTTGATATTTTGGAGATCATGATTGATCTTTCGGAGATCAGGATTGATTTCGGAGATCATGGTTGACCTTTCGGAGATCATGATTGATCTTTGGGAGATCGTGTTCCCCGTCGTAGAGGCGAGGAAAAACACTCTTGCTGCGGCTGTCGGCTTCGAAGGACGAAAAACGAGAACGCAGAGTTTCCGAACTTTGTGGAGTAAATAATTAGTCATTTCTGGGTGCTTTGCCACAATCCCAGTAGAGATACAAAGTGTTTTTTTCTGCGATCCTTACATTTCGGGGGTCGCAGTCTTGATAGGCACGGTGAGGGAGTCGCTTGGCTACGTGATGCTTGGAAGTTGTTGCACGTTTGGGAGCCAAGAACGACGAGGGGGGCTCTGCAGAGGTCTAAGAGCCCCGGCCATTCCGAAAAACAGAGTTTGTTGCTGCCGTGTGTAAGGATGTTTGGAGTGTGGGTTAACGTGCCGTGCGCCTTCTCGGAGGCAGTCTTCCGTCTTGCTCTGCTTGTGTTGAGAGGCGGAAACGGACCAGCGCAATCGATCGATCTATCCATCTATCAATCTATCTACGTATGTAGGAAAGACGACCGCTGTACATAGCGAAGAGAAATAAGTTTTTTTTATTATTGTTGGTAGCTTTTATTTTTTTGCGTCGTCATTCTTGACTGGGAGCGCGGAGGAAAGTAGCGGCTTTGTACCCTCACGTCCGTCCGTGCATGTGTACGCCACACCGGGATCGATCGATCGGCATCCCCTTTTTGCCTCTATGGTGTTAGCCCTTTCTTAATGCTTGGGATGTTGGTACTATATATAATATGTTGGGATGATAGACGCGGCACCATCATGTTTTGGGTGCAGGTCCTAGGATAATAGTAGACGCGGGTCGGTTGGGGTCGAGGGCACCATCTGAAGTAGTCACCGCTCGGGTACATACAAAAAAAACAAAAAATCGAGTGTGTCCATTTTGTCTTGCAACGGTTACAAAGTGTTGGTGCTTGAACCCAGGGGGTGGGAGGTTTGGGATAATAGATAACAGCAACTCGACAGATACAATAGGGCCAGAGAAAATAATATTTTTTGTGAAACTTGTGCATGGCTCTGGGGGTTGGACTTGTTTTTTTTTTCTTGGCAAAAAGAAAGCAGCCGAAAGGAACAAAAGGAAAATTTCAGGATCTATCTTTGACGTGTTCACTTCGTTCCGTCCTCTTTCTCTCATACGTGGTGTTTTTTCGTCATTTCTGGTGCGGCAAGTTTCTTGGACGGCGACGCTATAGGCCAATCACCCGTCCGTGTGGGAGTTAGTTGGCTGCTACAATGAAACGTTCTATGCATGCAGCAGTGGGTGACACTTGCGGCTCGCTCGTCCTCGTGATAGCGATCGAACACCCCAACCCTCAGAACGAACGCCAACGAGATGAATGAGAGTAACCTACAATGAGGATGCCGATGATCGATCATGGGTCGAACTCTCGAAGTTGATTGGTTGTTGATCCTCGAATGATTTGATAGTGTTGTGAGAAAATCTCGGATTCGGCGTGTGGACTGCTTGCGGCAAAGATGGCGGCACCATGACGGCGAGGGCATGCAGCAAACATATGCCACAGACGGAAGCATGTATCCGATACGACAGGAGCGAACGAACGTACACCAGACGCAAGGAGAATGCATACGCGAAAAAATTGAGTGTCAACGAAAGGATTGACGCGGCGTCGGTTATGATCTAATAATACTCCCTCCGAGTGCCCTCTCATTGGTCTATCACCACCACAAGGTATACCCAAGTGGGTGAAAAAATCTCCGCAAGCCCCCCCCTCCCCCCTCCCTGCCCCCATGCGAACCAAGTCGAATCTCCCGATGCCCTTGCCCACAAAACAACTCCGACATGTTTACAGTGGAGCAAACACATTTATTTGCCAACACCCACCCGAATCAAACATGATGGCAAGCGCACCCCCATCTGCCGACAACCAACCGTGTCCTCCAGCACCAAAAAAGCAATTGCATCGAAAACTTGACTGCTCCAAGGTGTAGGTGTTGGAAGAGTACACAAAGAGAGGCAGGCGGCATCGTGCCCAAGCTACTGTATAGACATTAGACCACTCGTCCATCGGAAAGAAAGGCCTCGAACCAGAAGAAAGCGCCGACGCCATGAGTTCTATTGGACTTTCGCGTTCGACATCCGAATCCTCCAACTGGGTAAAAATTCAAACCTACCTCCAGACACACACCCGTCCACTGTTTATTTTTCCGAACCCTCACGGTGTCTTACTCGTCTTTCTTTTAACAATGGGAGCGGAGGGTGGGCGCACTGTTACCGCCTACCCAACCCTCTTTGAACCTCGTCACCCGACAACCCCCGCACGAGGTTTTCTCCAAATACTCATCAGCATATCACCACCCAAAAATCACCCCCTCAAGACTACCGTACAAAATCCGATCGGTCTTGAACCAGCCGGATTACCTTCGAAACGTGAATGCTACGGGGGTTGGTTGTGTATCGGCCGGTCGCTGAATCCTCGTCCTCTCTCCCTTTGGCAAAACGAAACCAACACACGGATGGACGGGGGCCCTCCCTCTCTAAAGAAAACTAATCCCCGCGTACATCGCATGCATGCGCCAGGCAGCCTCCTATAACCGGCGGCGATCTGGTAGATAGAGCTCTCTGCCATGCCCTCGCCTGACTCCACGCTTGCTTCCGAGGCCTGCCTCCGGTTTTCCTTGGACTTGAGGCATGCATGCTCCGCGAAGCTCCGGTCTCACGACGATGGCTGCCTCTCTCTACGGTTCCTATGGCAAATTGGGAATATTCTCCCACTATTTAGTTCTGCTTGGACTTGAGGTACTCCGCGAACGAGGGAGGGTGCGGCGGAGATGGACTTGCGGGGGGGGTCCTCGTGGTCCACGGGTGCGCGGGGTCGCGGGTTTCTGCCATGCCGCCTGTGCCCTTGTGCCCGGGAGGAGTATTGCTCGACGTCCCCGTCGTCGTCGTCGTCGTCTGGCATCAAGAGGAGGACACAAATACACACACACACACAGTTTAGCCTCCCCCATGCTGCCCCCTCACGGGGTCCCAGTCCATGGCAGATAGAAGTGTTTCGTGTTGTCAACCGCACTAAGACTGACGTCTTTTTCATTGGTCAGCCGGTTAGCAGCGCGGTCGATGCTAATAATAAAAACACACACAACAAAGAGAAAGGATTGCTCAACATATGAGTCAACAACAAGGAGAAAATATTGCTCATTCATGCGACAAAAGAGAAAATATTTGCTCAATACATGAGTCAACAACAAAGAGAAAATTTTGCTCACTAATATAGTAGTCTATTGTCGAGAACGGAAGGTTCTTCTTGCCGATTTCGGCAGCAGGGCGTCGTCGATGCACGACAGAACTCTCATGGCACAAGTCTCGGAGGAGGGGTAAAGAGGCGCATGTCAGTCGCGGGGCCTCTGTAGGGCGGGAGTGGCCGGTACTGCTGTATAGGGATGCTGAAACCTGTTGCTTTTTACGGATGGAATTGATCAAGTTGTTTCATGCCGTGCTTTGAATAGGCTGATCAACAGGGCGGGCGCTCGGTACACTTTAGGGCGGGGGAAACGGCCTGGCACGTACCTACGATGAGGATAAGTTTTCAGCAGGCTCTTCGGGGTGTTCAACGTGAAAAGGGCTTGTGAGTAGGTGCTATGAGTCTATCCAGCCTATCCAAATCAAGACGGCCACGAATGAATTACACGTGTGGTTTCTCGAATCGAGAAACCGGGAGCTTCAAGGGTCTCGACCGAATTACAGCAGCACGACACGCACAAAGGTCGAGTGCATTTAATACTGATGCGGCGAGCGGGGAAATTCGAATCGAATCCAGTGCTAACCGACGGGTTCGACATTGTATGCCAGAACAACCACAGTAGTCTGAGTAAGAGGTGCTTGCGACACAGCTCTTGCCTCCCGACGGCAGAAACCAAGTCGTAGGGACAAGAAACGTTTCGGGCACACACCAATAATTATCATCTTGGCGCAAGGCAATCAGAAAATAGAAAAACAGCGTCAGCGATTAATTCAATTCACCAACGACGACGGGTGGCATGCACGACCAGTTGTTCCAAACGACGGCGGTTAGGGCTAGGGTTAGGGCTAGGGTTAGGGCTAGGGTTAGGGTTAGGGTTAGGGTTAGGGTTAGGGTTAGGGTTAGGGACAGACAGGGGCTAGGACTCTTAGGGTAAGCCACTGGCATTGTCCTTTTAGGGTTAGCGTCAGGGATCGGGGAAGCCTCTCTCACCGGGGTGGGGCTGGGCTGGTGATGTCGCAGAGGGCCAGAAGCAGGCGGGAGAGTAGTCCATCGAGCGGCAACGCACATGGTTGGCATGGTCGGCGACACAGCAACACACGATACGGTGGTGTACGGCCAGAGAGTAAGCGGGGGGGCGAAATCGAGCACGAGGACAAGGGCGAGAGCAACGACAAACACAAATTGTTTTTAATGTGTTGGTGTTCATGTAGTGTTGATCCGAGATTGAACAAGACAAGCAAGCACGACCGTCCACGGTAAAAAAGGAAACTATGGGGTGAAACTAGCGCGAGTGTACATAATAAGCAGATAGGATAGCGCGTGTCGTGGGGTGGTTGGTTGCTCCAGCATGACACCCTGTTTCCAAGTACCTTGCCGTGCGAACTTGTGTCCGTCCATGGATGCATGCACATTTTCTTGGGGTAAGGCAACCTGTGTGAGCCCAAAGTAGGCGTTGTTGCAAAATTTATTGTAGGGTTAGCAGGTCGCTTCGCTGTATCGTCCCCCACGACAACCACCGACGTTTGTTCATTTCCCGTGAGAGTTGGGCGAGAACCAAAACAAAAGGCCAACATTTTCCGACCGTTGCTGCTGCCGCGGAGTCGCCCACCACAACAAAGTAGCTATACCACAGGACAACAACATAGCGCCACGCGTTGTCAAGTTGCACACATTTCCAGAACACACCCTTCCGAGGTATCTACAATTAAGGTTCCATCCCATGACGGGTCGGCCACTTCACGTTTGCCCCCTCCCGCCAGTCGGAGACGATTATGGGACGATAGGAATTTGACTACAT